TTTTTTTTTTTCTTTACTAAAGTAAAAGTAAAGTCATTCGAAAATGGAGCTTCCATATTACACTTTTGCAGTAAAAACATTTAAGAGGCCAAAGAGAGACTTGTTACAACTTCCAGTAAAACATCATTTTGTATCGGTTAATTTCCATGGATATATAATATTCAGAGAGACTATTTCTCAAGTAATCAGCAGAATTCTAAGAAACGAATTAATCTTCGTTGCAAATTGAGATTCTGACATGTTCGAGAATCGAGGTAACAAATGGAATTACTTTTAACAGGCACGCTCAGATTGAGAATCAGCGTTGCTTTAGACCATACCACAGCGCTAAGATGTTTACAAAAAGAGTTAGATGCACACACAATACAAAGGAAAAGGTAATTAGGCCGCGAACAGAAAATAGAGAAATAAAGAAATTATGTAAAACAAGGATTAAGAAAAAAAAAAAAAAACGTATAAATACATGAAATGATAATATGTTATACCTTCGTCGCCCGTCTCCTTGACGATCTGTAGAGAGTACAGCTTGCTTGGAGTAGAGCAAGTGCAACTAATGCAACAACACATCCGACGACAATATATAGCTTCGCATCAAGGAACAAATCTGATTTAAATGACATATCTTCATCCAGATCTTCATCACCTAAATCATTCACTGGTGACCAAAACAAAATAAAGTATTCAGGTTGGATCGATGCCTTACATGTTATTTAATACATTTAATAATTATGATTATACGTACTACCGTACATAGAGTTAGCTTTTCGCTAATAATAAACACGCTTTGTTAAATCTGTTGTAATGATAACGCTTTCCTCGATTGGATGGAGGAGAAAGTACAATATCGAATTAAATACAACATTGCAAAGAAACTTAATCGGTTTACAATTATTGGTATCAAGATTTTGAAACTTCAAATGTTTGAAAATAGAATAATAATTTCGATTGATAATAGCCAACGATGATTTTTAAATATTTCATTAAAGAAGATAATTAAGATAGCTATAAGTTGTTAACCTGAAGGTTAATAATAATAAAATGTTTCATATACCTCGAGGAGCTCTAATGATCAAGTACTGTGGATCTACGTTTAATGCACCGACTTTTCCTTTGACGAGAGCTTCTTTTAATGCTTTCTCCGCGATCACACCGGTGTCTACGGGTTTCAGCGATCTACCTTTCACTTCGTTTTTATCTAAGATCAGATCCATGCGGGCAATAACACCATTTTGTTCATCGTCCCTAAACGTGTTAATACGTCCAACATTGAATAATATATATTCAGAAATAAAATAATAATGTATCGTAAAGATCGTTACTTTTGTAATTCATTGAGACGAATTTGACAATAGCCCAACAGTTTGTCAAAAACTGGACCGAAACTTTCAGATATCCTGTTCGAGATAATCTCGAAATCTGGGCTACCAGGAGTAGGCGTCGTAAAACCGTCACCTAAATTTACGAGTTTCACCTCTACATCATAATGCAATCTTGGTGGGGCTGGCGTTGTAAGATCTTCGAGTTCTACAAAAATTAAAAAAAATCTTTACAATATTTCTGTTATTCAATCACTTTGATTTAAAATCACTTTGTACGCACGCGAGAGAGAGAAACGGATTTCAAGCAAATAATATACTGATTGCAATATATAGTAACAAAAGAACAACCTTCGGGGCCACAAGATTTTATGCATATCCTTTCAGCGGAGACAACGGGTATGGCATCGTGTTTACGTATCTTCTTGTTGACAGCGTTAAAGATACCACCCTTGACTGGATACATCATGTACAAGCAGTGATCGTCCGTGAATGAAAGATCTCTATTGTCCTTTGTTATTCGTTTCCTCGAGAATTTGAGTGTCGTTACACCATCCACTTTACTGCCACCTGTGTTATAGATATCTTGAGACGGATCGAGCAACGGAGCATTATATCCGCTGATCCAAGTGTCCATGAGAAAAGCACGACCTGATTTCTCGTCGACCCAACCTAACACGGCGTCTGTCTGCGACTAATAATGGAAAGCGAAATATCAATCCTTAAACTTAGAACTTGAGAATAAAATTGTTTATTATAGAATAGAAAGAATATTTATAATGCAGTAACGTAAAATATTTGATAATATTATGTTGTCAGTTAATCTTGTGTTGGAGACATCAAACACAATTTATGATGTTAATGCATACCATTTTCTCGTCATCGGAGAACCCAACGCCAGTCCAAGTATTCGTGTTAGTAGTGGAAATAACAAACGATAACTGATCCTGAGAGAGAAATAATCGATACAGTAGATAAATACAGGAATTTCTCTTTATTATATAGGAAATTACCTTTCGTCCTTTATAAGTCCACTGAATAGAGTATTCACAAGAACCATTGGCAGGTGAGCAATGCCTTGGATAATGCCATTCACCATTGCAATTCGCAGTTGACGCCATTACATCCCCATCACTGGTGATTTCTTGTTTCTTCTTTTCATCTGAAAATATTAATAAATCACTAATTAACACCAAATTTCATCGAAACTAAATTATACACAATTAAACTTGACTTAAACCTACCAAAGAAATTAAGAATTACTGTTCCTCTCTGTGCTCCGTGTCCGTGATACTTAAGTTCATCAGCCTTGTAAAATTCCTTCACACTGACCTTGGCTTTTTCAATGCCACTCGGTGGATGATGAATATAGTTTCCAGGTTCTTGTCCTTTAGCCCATATCACTTGCATCTCACCGTCAATAATTTCGTGATCAGTTGGTTCATTTGCTGTCAATTTTCTTCTGAAGAGTATCGTTGTTACCCCGTCACGTTCGAAGCCCATAGCAGCGGTCAAAGTGTCTCTTCCGCCCCAATAATCGTCTTTTCTTGGTGTAGATCTGTCCCTGGTGTAATAGTCACCAATCCTGTGACTGTTGCCTCGTGCTGATCCTATTATGATGTCTGTGCAATCCATGGGATTGAAATCGTGTTTCGGTACGTACTTGTGCGCTCCGGGTAGAATAGCTTTGATCACAAAACATCAGATTAGATTCAAATGATTTACAGACATCATTAATTTATGATATGACCACTAATGAATGATAATTTATGAAGTTCCCTGTTGCAACATTAAAATGTTTGTCATAAAATGTGTACATATATTAGTGAAAAATTTATATTACAGTGTTTCAAGTGCAGGTGCACTTACATAAAAGTTATCAGGTCATTATGTGAAAGCAACAAGGGGGAGCTTATACGAAAGTAAATACAAATAAGTAAAAATACAAACATTATCTATCCTATAGATAATGCTTCCATTATTTCATTTTAGATATGTGTATGTTAGTATCAATGCTACTAATTATGTAAATAAATCATATTAATTTAATCTAAATTATTTTTTTATACGTAATACAAAATCTACTGTTTCGTTAAATATTTTTCATCTACAATATTATGTCTTTCTAATTTTTGTCAATTAGGTTGACGAACATTTCACACCCGTTCAAAATACTATAAATTATTCAGTTATGAAGTATATTACTTTTATTGTGCTTTACAAAATATTCCTGCTATAAAGGACTGAATAGTGATAAAATTATATCAAGAGGTAAAAAATTGATTCTTGAAAATTGGTTCAAACACAAAGTTTAAAAGTATTTTTAGGTACGAATCGTCAACTAATTACAATGTGAAGCTCTTGCAATATGTACGAGGAGAAACAAGCGGTTGAAACGCTTCATTAGCTTGTTTTACCTTTCGTTGTGCTCGACTTAAGGCCTGAGATCGGTTCCGGCTCCGAGGTTGGTTCAGACTTTGATTCTGGCTCTGACTTAGGTTCCGGTTCAGACTTTGACTCTGGTTCGGAATTGGGCTCCGGTTCGGACTTTGGTTCTGGTTCAGATTTCGGCTCTGGCTCTGGCTCGGATTTGGGTTCTGGTTCTGAACTTGGTTCAGGTTCGGATTTGGGTTCTGGCTCTGAACTTGGCTCGGGTTTGGATTTGGGTTCTGGCTCAGATTTAGGTTCTGGTTCAGAGTTTGGTTCCACTTGTGACCTCGATTTAACTTGAGAAGTAGATTTTGGATGAGATATTGGCTTATGTTCATATTGTGTCTCTGAAGTCAGAATGGCTTCTGCTTTTGTTTTTGGTTCAGCGTTAGTCGAATCTGAATGAGATTCTGGCTCTGGACTTGGCTCAGGTTCGGATCTGGGTTCTGGTTCTGAATTTGGCTCAGGTTCGGACCTGGGTTCTGGCTCTGAACTTGGCTCAGGTTCGGATCTGGGTTCTGGCTCTGAACTTGGCTCGGGTTCGGATTTGGGTTCTGGCTCTGAATTTGGTACAGGTTCGGATTTTGATCCTGACATGGTGTTGGTGCTG